AAGGATGGATAGTGAGCGAGCGAGCAGCGTGTCTCTAAGAAAAATGGGAGAGAGGTCCCTTGACATGACATGGGCTGTCTCTCTTTGATTCTCAAAATGGTGGACGCTCGGTGTGATTTGAACTCTTTAGCATAGCATTTGTCACAAAGCTTTTAATAAAAAAAAAAATCAGTAAACAAGTTCTCAGCTTCTTTTTGCAGAGAAAAACAACTTTTTTACATGAAGGCACGGGTTTCAACTGTGAATTTTGGAGCTTCGACAAGACAGAGGTTTTCCCCCCGAGGTCGGCCTGTTAGCTTAGCTTCTCAACTTAGCTGCTTTTAACCGTCCAAAAAACGTGATTTTTGGACGGTTAAAACAGATTTTAAAGAGAAAGGGAGGGGTCAGTGAAGAGCACCGGAGTTGAGTCTTTTGTCATCCATTGTCTTCAGTAGAAAGAGAGACGAAGAAACAATAAAGCAGATGAACGATCATGAGGTCGATAATATTCATTTATCATGCGATTAATTGATTTATTGTTTATCGCGACAGGCCTAGCAGTAGCTGAATCATCCTAACGGCAACAACTTCCTTTCTCCAGGAGGTGCTCCTGCCCTTCTCACCATAAACTGATCTCAGTTGAAAACATTGAGATGAAAGGCGGTGGGCGAGATGCATTCCTATTAATGAATTGGGCATTTTAGTTAAATAACTGCAAAATAGTTCAGATTTTTTTTTTTACAGCTTTTACCGCGCAGAGAGAGGAAGGCAAGGAGTATCTGGTCAACAGGAACTTAATGGAGAACAATGACTTTCTCGTCTGACTTCAAAACACTTCCCAGTGTGTGTGCACGAGTACAACTCTTTTATTGTCACCCTTGTCTATGATCGTCAACCAGACCGAGAGAAGCAACAAAAAAAGACGAGTTCGGATAAAGGGTGAGATAAGGACGGTACGTTCTCGTCCACTTCTCGTTTCTAAACAGACAGAGAGAGGTGAGCATCTGACCGCTGGATGGAGTGGAAGAGGAAAAAGTGTGTGTTGGTGTGTGTTTGTGTCCCTGCAGCTGTTTGGTGTGCGATGGACTCTGTCTTCAGCTTCCAGGAAAAGGGGGGAGCCATCAGAGGGGTGGACAGGAAACTCTAGCAGGGCCAACTTCCTGTAACTCTCGCGATGGTCTCCCTGATAGTGAGGTGTGTGTGTTCCTCACATGTAAAGCTTGTGCATATGCACATGTTTTCTTTGGACGCAGCCCGTAACAAACTGTGTTTTCTGTGACGTTCGAGGAGATTTTTAAGGATTTTCTGCTAAAAACATGCATGTTACATGCTGATTGGCTGATTGGTAACTCTAAATTGTTCCTAGGCGTGAGTGAGAGCGTGAATGGTTGTCTCGTTTGTCTTTGTGTCCCTGTAATGGACTGGAGACCTGTCCAGCATGTCCCCTGCCTCTCGCACAGTGACTGCTGGATATGGGCACCAGTGACCCCCACGACCTGAAAAGCAAGAAGTGGGTAAAATATAATGGATGGATCCAAACTGACAGTTTGCAGTTCTCGTCCATCATAAATGACATTTCTCTTCCCTCCCCACCACAACTTGGATTATTCTTCCTTTTTGTGACTTCCCCTGCAATCCTCAGTGGACGGGGTGGCTGTAGCCCATAGTAGTCAGCTTGAAAGGTTGCAGGTTACAATCCCAAGACCACCTCACACTCTCTCACTATTAATAGAGCGTTTTACTTCATCTCTAAAGTAAACCACCTCCAGAGTGTTGTTGATTGAAAATCAACAATTAATAGAAATTAAAATAAAACCATCTTTACTGTCATTGTGTAATTTGTATACAACCCAACCTTTTCCTGTGAATTTATAAACATATTGACTTATACAAACAGGCGCTAACAACTCGACCAAAAACGCCTGCACCTTAAAGCAGCAGTATAAATATTATTTGTTTTGCGGAAAGATTATTTCCTGTTGTAGATTGTACAGTTTAATTTTGACCAGACTGATGAGATGAGTTGGTCTGAACGAGGCTAAAACCACTTTTTCAGCGCCTTGATAATTAATCATAATTTCTCCAAACTAAGATCGCTTAAAAAATTTCTACAGCAGGTAAGATATTTGTTGTTCATAGCTTGTTAACACAAAGTTGCTTCTAAAGATCTGAACTATAAGTTTAGAAGTTGTACAACGAAGGAGATGTTTTCATCTCGTCACTTTTTCTGTGGCTAAATGTCATGGCAGCAAACTGTTCTATTCTGGAGACCCCCTACGGTAGCAGGAAATACAATTTAAAGACTGTTTGCGTTTAGTCTCTCTGTAGGTAGATTTTATCAGCTGAGTATCGGTGAAACACACAGACGCATGAACTAAAAATACAAATTTCACAGTAAAAAAAGAGTAATGTTCCCCGTCAAGCTTATGTTGCATATATTCATTTTTGTCATTTATGACTCCTCACACGAATTTGGGCTTTCAAATATTTTCCATGAAAGAAAAAGATTGTTGCAAACTTGGCCAATATTTTCATGACAAGACGGTTTCCAGATTTCTAACTTGATTAATCTAATTAAATATATATTATACATTATCACTAAAAAGAATATAAAATACAAATGTCAAAATTGGAATGGTTAGAGTTGTTGCCTCACAGCCAGAAGGTCACAGGTTCGCCCCCTGACCTTTCTGGGTTCAGTTTGCATGTTCTCCTCATGTTGTATGGATTTTATCTGGGTACTTTGGTCTCCACCCACAAAACAAAAGAATGCATTTTAGGCTAATTGGTTTATTGACTAAACTGTCCCCAAGTGTGAGTGAGAATGATTTTGTCTTGTTTGTGTCCTTGTGATGGACCTGTCCAGTGTGTCCCCCGCCCCTCATGGAGTGACTGCTGGAAATAAACACCAGCTCCTCGAGAAGCAGGTGGAGAAAGTGCTAGGATGGTATCAAAACTGACCAAAGCTGAGCGATTTGAATCTTTCTTCATGTGTTAGTCAGTGCTCAGAATGTTCATTTTCAAGAGTGTGGTTTGGATGTTAATAACAAAAGGTTCCTGAAACTTGCACTAAAAATATGTAAGAAAAAAATTAAAAAAGAGTGCAATAATAAGAACAAAACAACATTTGGGTTGCTAATAGCTGAGACTAGCTGTTTGCAGTCTACAGTATACTTTCTTCCCTCTCCTGCCTTCCTCCTGCTTTTTGCTCTCTGTCCTTTGTATCGGAGCTTCTATTTACACATCTTCCAAATTGTAAATTACTGTTATGGATTTGGTCAGCTGGACTTTCAACGCAATTGATAAAAAAAAATTTTAAACCGAGCAAAAGGGTGCTGGAGAACCCTCCTGCCCCGCTGAGACGCACGCAGCTGGGTACGTCATGGATCCGTGGGGAGAATGGAAGATGATGTTCCTTTCTGTGTAGTCTCTGGAGGATGTCAAAGATTTTTAAATGATTGGATTCATGATAGCAGGGTTTCTGCTTTTTGGCACCAGCGGATATCCATGTTATCGGCTATTAAGAAAGACGGCGGCAACAGTTTCTGCCATGGCAAAGCTGCCGACCTTATGTGAAGGATTAATTCGTGCTTCGAGCTCTCAGACTCGGCTGATTTACGAGCTCGACCGTAAGATGGAAGCGATTTATGAGAACCGTAGGCCACTTGCGTCTTCTGGAACTTGCCAGCATGTTGGAACCGATCTTGGAGAAGGCTAATGAGCACGGACCAGTGGAACGCCCACAAATCTGGCCATTTTGGATCATCGAGACTTCCAGCAGAACTCAAGGCTGATGGGGGGGAATAGAAACCCCCTAGAAAGAAACCCTCGGTGCAATGATAATAAAGTTTATTCTGATGCTGATCAGATAAACTAAACGGCTAGTGTTTTGTTCTAAATGAATAAACATGTAGATGAGATAAATGCACTTGTTTCTACCACTCCAACAATAGTAATTCTTGTCTGCCACCATTAATGGCGGGAGATAATGGAATCGATCAGTATTTGATTGTCACTGTTATAAAAAACGACTAGATAACGTTGGAGCATCTGCAGCATTACCTATTCATAATTTATTCAGAATCTGGGTTTATGTGAGTGTTTGTATTTCTGTCTGAAACATAAGAAGAGAAACATAAAGTTGACTACGGCTCATATTAGAATGAGATACCACTTTAGCATGAACGGCAGCGTCAACCTGATTCAAGATGGCTGCCTTATCATTAGCCATCACAAAGAGGGATGTAACAGTTTTACAGATACTGTGCTAAAATGTGCTGTGGTAGTAGCTAGTGGGTAAAACTTTAAAATACAAAGTGGTGGTGATAAACATTCCTTCAAAGAATGCTAGGCCTTTCATTTAAAACCTGTTTCAATTTAAGCTAGTTGTAGTTAAACTGTGGAGCCTTGGGTTGGCCACAAAATGTGCATTTTTTTGTTGATAAAGTAAGCTCATACTGTTGAGTTTGAAAACATCTGTGCTCACAGCTGAAATACGTTACGCTTTTTACTGTATGTTATTTCCTTTTGATGTTGTATTTAATTTTTTTTGTTTTTTTTTTTTTTTTTTTGCTTTATCAACATCAGCGTTGAAGTAATGCGGTTTGCTCAAAACTGGAAGTCAGGATTTCATACATGAGAGCACACTGACACAGTGATCATTGTCAAACACTGTCCCTCTGTGTCAGATACCCCCCTTCTCCCTCTGATGACATTTACTTGTCTATTTCACCACAAGCTCAAACATCCACGTACATGACGGTGAGTCAAGACACTGTTGACCAGAGCGCTCATGAATACCCTCTCTCGAAATGGCAAAGCAAAAAAGGAAGTGGCTAACCTCACATTTCTCGGTCTCTCCTTATCTCAGGCTTTTTCTTTTTTCTAACTTCTGTCTTCTCACATCTGCCTCCACAAATGTATTTTTTTTTTTCACGCTTTATCGCTCTCGAGCCCTCCTCTCACAGTCCCCATCTCCTGTTCTCGTGCCACTCATCCCCCTCTTTTCTCTCTCGTTCCAGCTGCCGTCACTCAGCTCCTCCCTCGTTTATTTTTTTTTTCCAGTGGCGATGGTGATTGACAGATGATCTGACAGAGGAAGACATCAGGTGAGGGGAAAAAAGTTAACTTCTCCTTCTTGCTTTAACTCAATTCCTCCTTCCGCCTCCTCCTGTTCAAGGGAAGTTTTTTTTTTATATTATAGTTCTCTATAGTTATTTTGATCTCTCTGTGTTGTAATGGGAGCTGCTTTCACTTTCCACCAGCTTTATTCTGTAGAGTCAGGCTTGGTGACGTGACTTGGGAGGACATCAGGAGCATTTAGCAACACCGAGTTTAGCATTTTGATCATGATGTTGCTGTTAGTCGTCTGGTAATTTAAGTAATCCCTGTAACAATATGAACAAAGAGCAAAATAAGTCTCAAAACTAAGAAAATTATGACTGTTTTTGCAGATTCTGTCTCCCTGCTGGTTATTATGGGGTGCACCTGTTGCAAGCAGAAGAAGTCCTCCAAATCAAAAGACGCAACATCGTCAGGAATAGATGCTACAGACTTGTCGCCTAGCAACGCAGATGAACGGTCAGTCGAGACCTTGCATCAGGGCCGTTACTGCTCCGATCCCACTCAGAGCATCCCGGACTATAACAAGACCTTCTTACCTGGAACTGGCTTCCCCAGCATCAACACAGGCCATCAACATGGAGGCATGTATCTGTGTGTGTCTGTGTGCAGAGGCTTGTAACAAAAAAAGTCTTAAAAAGGTGTTTTAACTACTACAGTAGTCCCTCGTTTATTGTGGGGGTTACGTTCCAGACCCCCCGCAATAAGTGAAAATCTGAGAAGTACCGACATTATATTTATTTTACTTTATATATATTTTAAGGCTTTATTACACTCTTGCAATTTTCTTAACTCTTAAACCTACAAATTTTAACAACATAATTATATGTAGCTACTAAATTTTACTCACCAGCTCTGCAGAACAGCAGCGTCTCGGTTCCGCTCCGACTTGGTTTCATTTTGATGGATCTACGCTGTCGGTTCTGGTCGGCTCTCTGGCTCGGGGTAGTGGCGGTGAGCTCCAGAGAGAGGCTGGACCTACAGCGTCCCCTGCTCGGGGGTCCTCGTGGGCCAGCTACTAGCTCTCGGGTTCACCGATGGTTCTGGGGGTCCGGTTCTGCTTCGGTTCTGATCTGGTTCCTGGTGGGTTCTGTGCAGTTCTCTGCATCCATTGGATACCGAAGTTACTGTATAAATAAGCACAGAATTTTTCGGATCAGATCAAAGCTTTCCCTCTGCGTATTTCAGCAGAAGGCAGCGGGGCTTCTGGGCAGGGCACTGTTGGCTTCTGGGAAATGTAGTCCTTATGAGTGTCAATACAGTATAGGCTTATTGAGACAAAACTACAAAATGGCAGAGCCTGTCTGAAGTATTTTATTTTTTCATTAATGTTTTACTGTACAGTATCCAGTACTTTCCCAATCACATGAGTAATATTAAAGTAGACAATCATGTGCAGTGTATAATTATTTTTTTCCCCTCATGTTCAATCTTACTTTGAAAAACCGCAAAAGAGAGAATCCGCAAAAGTCGAACCATAAAGTAGCGAGGGACTGTATAAGAAGAAAAATTAGCTTTATGGGTATTATTGAAACTCTAAAAGCACTTTCTCTATAAATCTGTTATCATTTTGTGCCAATTTATGAACTAAAATACATTAAAATATTTAAATCACAGCTCTACATACAGCTCATAAATGGAAAACGCTGAGAATGAACTGAAGGGGCGCATCAACCAGAATCAATTGATTTTCTTTGACCGACATATCTGACCCTCAGAAAATAGATTTTTATTTTATTTTTTAATAACTAAGTGCTGAACATTGCCTGCTATCAAAGGTGAAAGTGATCGTTTTTGTTGGTGAGTGTGTGTTCATGTGTGTGCTTGTTGGCAAAATATCTCATAAACCACTGAAACGATTGTAATGAAACACTCAAAACAAAATCATTAAATTATCTTCAACTGATAACTTTTGGTATAAACCTGCCACAGGTAATTGACTTAAACCAACACAAAAATGGCTTTAACTCAGCCAGTTTTACTAATACTGAGTTAAATCTTGGTGTGAAAGTAGCTGAGAGTTATCCACAACGTATACTTCGAGCACGAAGGCCTTAAATCTGAGTTTCTAGCACGCCTTCAATGTAGAAGTTTTTACTGAGTTAAGAAGTCACAAAGTTAGCTTTTTATAAAATCTCTGAGGTGTTTAAAAATAAAAATAAAGTCAAAGGAAGCTCAGGTTGAAAGGAAACAATTCTCTGCAGAGGTCTGTCTGCAAAACATCCTCCTGCTCAGGAACATACGGCCTGAGGTTTTCCATTTAAGTACCAGCTGCCACTTAAACAGGCAACATTTCTGAGTCCAACTTTCTTGGCAACACCTATAATTTGTTGGCAGGTTGACAAATGTAAGCAAAAATGAAATGGTTTAATTGCTGTGATTATCAAGCTGTAATTTGCAATGTGTGCAGCTACAGTAAAATTAATGGATTTAACACGTCCAACAGTAAATCCGAGGGATTTTAAGATGATTTTTCAGAAGATTCAGTTGAACGCAGCTCTAATAATTCAAGCAAAAAAAGTCAAGTGATATAGTGCAGTCTTTTGCTTTGACATGTGCAAAAATTTAAGAGATGCAGTATACTGCGTTTTTTTTAATTTTTTTTATTTTATTTATACAAGTTCTTCTGTCTGAAAACCTGGAGGAAATGTGTATTTTGGTGACACACATAGACATAAAACTGTTTTCTTTCTGCTAGAACATAAACTAATTAGTTGACGTTGTTTATTATGTGTCTTTGTATTGTAATTGGTAGGTTGGAGCTTTACAAAAATCAGGAATTGGAGTCGGAGCAGGAAAAACTGAGATGTAACGATTTGTTTTCTCCCGCAGTCGTCGGCGTCACTTTCTTCATAGCTTTGTATGACTACGACGCTCGCACCGAAGATGACCTAACCTTCCAGAAAGGAGAGAAATTCCAAATCATCAACAACACGTGAGCACAAATGCGACGCACATAGCTGTAGTTAGACCAGATGTGTTAGCATGGGATGCCCAAAAGGAAAATTACATCTTATAGGAGTAACGTAGCAAGAAGAGGATCTCAAAACTGACTAAATGTTTCATGGGGTTTTGGAAACGAGTGCTCTTTGAGTGTGTACATTAAATTCTTCTGGTTGTGTTTAAATACCACCCAATGCCTTTAACTTGACATGAATAGTTTTTGTGTTTTTAGCGAGGGTGACTGGTGGGAAGCCCGCTCTCTGGACACCGGACGCTCGGGTTACATCCCCTCCAACTATGTTGCTCCCGTTGACTCCATACAAGCTGAGGAGTGAGTGCATGCATACACACATATAGACACACACACACACAGCGGCGACAGCTTTGTGTACTGCAATGCAAGAGCATGCTTTAGGATTGAATCACTGATTGAAATGTAGTCTGAAGGCAGAGGTCAAGTGTTGTGTTTTGTTGCTCTCACCTGTGTGGTGTTCCCGTGGCGACAGGTGGTATTTTGGGAAGATGGGGAGGAAGGATGCAGAGAGACAGCTGCTGGCTCAGGAGAACCCGAGAGGAACTTTCCTCATACGAGAGAGTGAGACCACCAAGGGTGAGGAGGAAACACTTTCAGCACACACCCTCATTGTCTTGTAAAAAAAAAGTCTCTCTTTTTCTGTCCTTCATCTAAATCCAGTTTAATCATTTTTCTTTTTCTTTGCCGCTTCATGTCCAAGGTGCCTACTCTCTGTCCATCCGTGACTGGGACGACACCAAGGGAGATCACGTCAAACATTATAAGATTCGAAAACTAGACAACGGAGGCTACTACATCACCACCAGATCACAGTTCGACACTGTTCCACAGCTGGTCCAGCACTACACAGGTAACGCACAAACTCCGCCTTTTTGTCTAAAAAAAAGGCTTCGACTTCAGATTTCTAATACTTAAAAATGCCTTCATTATCTAAACCTGGGGTTCTCAAAGTTTTTGGGGTTCAGAGACCCCTTACAGGAGAGAAAAAGTTTCAGGGACCCCCTCATAACCCTCATGCTTATTAAGTAATTTTCTTAAATTTGTCTCTTTAATGCAATGGAAATATTTGTGTAACATAAATACTTAAGACCTGTTGTTTAATAGTGTTAATAATTTTGTTTATACTTTTAAACATGGTGTATTTTTCATTCAAGACACTTAATTAACACCTTTTTTAAATTTCAACTTCCAAAAATTATAGTTTTGAGAAAATTAACAGCATAAAAAAGCACTTTAAAACTGTACCTACTCATATAATGAACATAATAAATGTGTCTTTAAATTATTACAGAAAACTCTTTACATAAAACTGAACAGAATCATAACAGCAGTAGTTGGACCAAGCAGGGTTTAACCAGGGCTTAATTTGTAAACGGATCGACGCCGGAACGCAAATAGCAGGCTTGTCGGCTGGGGTGGGGTCCTGGGGAACACGCATGCTCACAAGACAAGAACCTGACAAGTTGTTTAATGGCATAAAATATGTTTTGTTAGAAAAATACTAACATTTATTAAACATTACTTTTGTGTTTACAGAAACAAACAAAAAAACATCAAAATTGTGCTTTGACAAACTCATCGATAAAGCTAAAACATGTCGTCAACGCAAAAGAGGAAAAGAGGGGCGGGTATCACTCTTGCTTTGAGTTTACTCTTTGTTGCGTGCTTGCTGTGGGTGAAAAGCATCCAGAGCACCATTAAAAACAGCCGCTGAGGACTAATGTGAATATACTTTGTTAGCAAAGAATAGAGTACTAACATTTTTTAAACAGTACTTTTATATTTACAAAAAAAATATCTAAATTGTGCTTTCTCAAACTAAAAAACTAAAAAAAATGTGTTAAAGTGACAGAGGAAAAGAGGGGCAGGAATCGCTCTCGCTTTGAGTATATACTCTTTGTCACATGTGTGCTGTGGGTGACGAGCATCCAGATGGTCATAAAACACATGCAGTGGAGATGTCGGAGTTATTTATCGTCTCAGCAGCAGAGCGGAGCGACACGGTTCAAGCATGGCTCCCAAAACGACAAGACCGCCATATTTTGTCCATAACTTTATTATTAGTAAATCTGAGAGTTACCGATCCAAGCAAACAGTTGCCGGAACGCACCCTGTCAAAATAAGAGCGTTCCCGGATCTTGTTCAGGCAGGATCCAGCTCAAATTAAACAATGGGTTTAATTTGTAAACCGACTGATGCCAGAACGCAAATAGCGGGCGAACCGTGGGGGGTGGGGAGGGTCTGGGGGGGTCCTCCCCCAGAAAAATTTTAATAAAGTAAATGTGATTTCCTGCATTTTGGTGTATTTTAACAGGTTGTTAAACATCTATGTGCTTGAAAAAAAAAAATATATATATTTTGTGGACCTCCCCCCAAGCACCGGCTCGTGGACCCACGGGGGTCCGGGGACCCCAGTTTGAGAACCGCTGATCTAAACTGTCAGAAAATAAAAATACATATATGCATCATGCAATAACAATTGACCTTTGTGCAAATTTAGTAAAGTACATGTTCAACTTTCTTGTTTCTATTTGTTTCCACTTTGTACATTTTATCGCTTTGCATTCATGTGACTTCTTTTCTTTACTCTGAAAAATCAGGTTGTACGCAAAAAGTCTGCAACATTGTATGTTTGTGTATGTCTCTTTTATAACTCTCTGTTGTTGTCCATTGTTGTCATCATTCTTTGTTGCAATCAGGTCCCTCTTGTAAATGAGTCCTCGAGGCTCAGTGGGATTAACCTGTATCAATAAAGGTTGAATGAAAACAAACAAATGTACCTTAATGAATGTAAAATAATTTTACAAAGCTCCTTAATAACAAAAATGCTGAGCTAGACATTTTGATCCCCAAACAGCATATCTCAGATATAAACTTGACCATTTTTGTTCTTGATGAAAACACTTTGACTGGTTACCAGTTCAGTTTGTGTGACATACCATCTTGCACTTCCTCTGCTGCCTGTCAGTGTAAACCTGCCCTCTAGTGGCTGAAGTTGCTAATGGACAATAATCTGCACTTTGTGAGCATCAAACAGCATCTCTGTGCTGCCGCTCGCCCTGTGCTTGTTGTTGATCCTCTTTACTTTTACTTGTGATTGATTTTTCACGTAAGCAATGCGTTTTCTTCTTTTATTTCTGCTCTTGCTCTGGTTTCTTGTCTCCCTTTTTATCTGTCTGTCTGTCTGTTCGGCTCTCCCTCAGAGAGAGCGGCGGGACTGTGCTGCCGTTTGATTGGCAGCTGTAAGCGGGGCATGCCTAAGCTGGCCGACTTATCGGTGAAGACCAAGGATATGTGGGAGATTCCTCGCGAGTCTCTCCAGCTGATTAAGAAACTGGGCAACGGCCAGTTTGGAGAAGTCTGGATGGGTAGGACTGGTGGGGGTTTGTTAAAGAGGGAGGGGGAGGATAACATCAGAAGCACGCCTGAATGAAAATATTAAAGCAGCGTTGAGTCTGCATCATGTTTCTGGGGTGGAGACCTCACTAACAAACGGTAAAACCTGTTGATCTGCACTCGCGTATAGAAAATACAAACAAAACTGAGATGCAGCTCGTCAACAACAGTTTGAACAATACAATTAAAACCATAGAAGATGAGTTTGCATTTCACATCCAGGTGTGCTGAGATGTTTCCTTCCCCATCCCCCTGGTTGCATGTGCATGTTTTGAAATCTCACATCCCCCTTTTTTTTTATCACCCCCTCCCATCTCTCCATCACTTCACCTCTCTTCTCCATTCCTCAACCACCTTTCTGTCCTCTCCTTCATCTCCATCCTGTTTTTTTGGTACCTCTCCCCCGTCTCAGGCACTAATGATGGGCTGTGTTATTACCTGACCAAGCCCTGCCCCAACTCCACCCCCCTCACTTTGGGTCTTGGGCGAGATGCCTGGGAGGTATCGAGGGAAACACTGTCCCTGCAAAGGAAGCTGGGACAGGGCTGCTTCGGGGACGTATGGATGGGTGAGACTGCCTCTGCCAACTCTACAGAGAAAAAAAAAATGACACCATGTAGCAAAGATTGATTTTTTATAGAGCTCAGTGTCCTTTTCCATCCTGACAGATTTGATGGTATTCCCGTGTTTTTGCAGATTTAAGTCACAAACTTTCAGTGACTGGCTCTGAGTGTTTTGGGTTTCTGCCTGAAGCAAGCAGAGATCTGTGCCTGTCCTTGTAACTCAGGTGCAGCTTTTATTGGTCTAAGAAAACCAGAAAACCCCTCATCCTCTTCACCTCGTTGCCTCTTCACCTCACCATGTCACATCATGCATGCTCTCCACAATAACAATCATGTGCATGCACCAGAAACTCACCACATGATGGATCACAACAGCACTGTTTTATATATAAGCAGGGCAAATCACATCTGCATGTATGCAGCTTTTAGCATCACTATGACAGAGAAGTCTGTGTATACACCTGCAGAGTAAGACTCTGCGTGTGAGTCTCTGTTGTCTAACGTCTCCTCGTCTGTATGCCAGGCATGTGGAACGGCACCACCAAGGTAGCGGTGAAGACTCTGAAGCCAGGAACCATGTCCCCCGAGGCCTTCCTGGAGGAGGCTCAGATCATGAAGAGACTACGGCACGACAAGCTGGTGCAGCTCTACGCCGTCGTGTCTGAGGAGCCCATCTACATTATCACTGAGTTCATGAGCCAAGGTAAGGGGCTGCATAAACCGTCACCACACTGACACGATGGAGATCTGAACTGCTGCCATCACAGTGGGAGGAAACCTGAGACTTTTAAACAGAAATTAAAGAAACTGCATTTCCTGTGAAAATGCAGTGTGAATGCTTGTTGCAGAAGAAATTGCTGAAAAACAGCTGAAATTAGCTAAAAACGTGCTGAAATATAGCTGAAATGGAAGAACAAGCCTAACTTAGCAGAAGAAAGCAGAAAGAACACATTTTTTCTGAACTGGGTTTAAATAAACGGAAAGTAGTACAAAAATTAGGAAATTGGCTAAAAAGGCTAAAATTAGCACTAAAATTTGCTGAAAGTAGCTGAGAAAAAGAAACTTAAACTACTAGAGGAAAGCAAAAGGAGCTGAAATGAGCTCCAAGAATGTGGAATTAGCTGAAAAAGCTACATTTAACGTAAAACAACTAAACAGTAGATGGTGTAGAGGCAGGGCAGCCGGCTTGGGACCCGAGAGTCCCAGGTTCGATCCCCAGTCACTGCACATCACGTGGCGTCTCTGGGCAGCACGTCTAATCCCCAAAATGTCCCCCGGGCGCTTTCAATAGCTGCCCACTGCACCACCTGGTGGTGGATGGGTTAAATGCAGAGACTAATTTCGCCATTGTATGGAAACATACAGTGCTGACATTGTGATGACATTATTATTATTATTATAAATATCAGAAAAAGCTGAAACTAGCAGAAATAAGCTGAGAGGAGCATAACAAGCTGAAATTAGCAGAAAGAAGTTAATTAAGCTGAACGTAGTAGAAATTACAGTGGACAAACTTGCATTTATCTAAAAACGGCTTAAATTAGCTAAAAATGCTAACAAGGTAGCTGAAAAAGTAGAACAAGCTTAAATTGGCAGAAGAAGGCAGAAAAAAAAACGTTTGCCCAATTAAGCACAAAAAGTGGAAATTATCTGGAAAAAAAAGCTGAAATTAGCAAAAAACAAATAGCTGGAATTAGCTTAAAGTAGCTAATGAGGTTTATTTTTTCACAAGGAAGCTGAAAGAAGCTGAACCAGAACATTAAAAGGTTGTAAACAGATCTAAAGATTTGAAGGCTGTAAAATGAGCTCAATTCATGTTTTATGATTAAAAAAGTGCCAGAAAAGGTGAAATATTTAAAAAAGCTAAAGTTGCACCAATACCAAAACTCATAACAGGATTGTCCTGAAAGAGCTGAACGTTTTGATATGATTTGTTGAAATAATTTGAAAACTGGGCAGCACGGTGCACAACTGGTAGAGCTGCTGCCTTTCAGCGAGCAGGTCCCTGGTTTAAATCCCAGTCCGGGGGCCTTTCTGGGTGGAGTTTGAATGTTGTCTCCGTGCATGCGTGGGTTTTCTCTGGGTACTCCGGTTTCCTCCCACAGACCAAAAACATGCATGTTAGGCTGATTGGTAACTCTAAATTGTCCCTAGGTGTGAGTGAGAGAGTGAATGTTTGTCTCTGTGTCCCTGTGATGGACTGGAGACCTGTCCAGGGTGTACCCCGCCCCTCGCACAGTGATTGCTGGACATGGGCACCGGCGACCCCCGTAACCTAAAATGGAAGAAGCGGATAAAAGATAATGGATGGATGGAACTAGAAAACTGCTGAACGAGAATCGTGCCAAATAACGCACAGAAGAAAAATGGTTCACAACAGTGTGAATGCTTCATGAAGCATTCACACTATTAGACTTTTTTAATCCCAAATCAAGACACATGAGGTATAATACTGAAAAACATTTGTTTTTCTACAAGGGTGCACTTTATTTTAAATTGTTAGAAGTCACTTAAATCATGAGAACAATAGAAATACTGTATCTATAAAACAAGATTTTTTTAACGTCTGGATTTACACAAAATTGTTCAATAGTGAAAGTAACAGAAAACGGGTTTAAGTAAAAATTACTGGTAGTTAAGTGCAGCAGTTTATGTAAAAAAATTAAAAACACTCACAAACGCTCTTATCTTTTAAAATAATTTAAACGTGTAACCACTTTTTAATTTCCTACTCTTAGTGCATTTCTATCTCTTAAAGGTACATTTTTTTTTAAATAACCTGTCGTTTTTATGTAGTTTACAATCTCAGGAGGAGCATCGATGTTTATCTGTGAACAAGTTAGACAAGAACAGACACAGATGAGTTCATGCACTCTTTTAGTGCTCAGAATATGCGTAGGAGATAACTCTCGGCTACTAATGCACCAAAATTTAACTTATCTGTCAAACTGGCTGAGTTGTTGCCATTTTTGTGTTTGCTAAGCTCAATTGGTAGTGGCAGCCATCTTGAATCAGTTGTAGATGTACACATTGTAGTGACATTTTCTTTTTATATTCTTCTTGTTAGGACTTTCTGATTTTATTTTACGTCACTTCATTTTTAGGAAGTTTGCTGGACTTCCTGAAGGACGGAGAGGGACAGAACCTGAAGCTGCCTCAGCTGGTGGACATGGCAGCTCAGGTACTCCAGCGGTACTCTGACGGACGAAAGTGAAGCGTAGACACTTCCACTACAGAGCCCAAAACTTCTTTTTTTTTTTTGTCTTTCCGGGTCTGCAGATTGCAGCTGGGATGGCGTACATCGAGCGCATGAACTACATCCACCGTGACCTGCGAGCGGCCAACATCCTCGTCGGAGACAATCTGGTCTGCAAGATCGCCGACTTTGGCCTAGCTCGGCTCATCGAGGACAACGAGTACACAGCCAGACAAGGTAGCGGGATGAGATGGGATGTCTGCGAGAAACACAAGATCTGGGGTTCAACAGTGCTGTAATTATTAGTAGCTACATTAGCCTTTATGTCGGTATTTTTAGTCGTAAATACATTTTCACTGTTTCCATGGTTTCAGGAGCAAAGTTTCCTATCAAGTGGACAGCTCCAGAAGCTGCACTCTATGGACGCTTTACCATCAAGTCCGACGTCTGGAGCTTCGGCATCCTGCTCACCGAACTCATCACTAAAGGACGTGTGCCCTACCCAGGTACTAAATCGTACCGACTTCAGATTATTCTTCCCATTGTTAAAAATTCATGCGAATCAGAGCTATAGTTTTATACACCTGGAGACGCAGAAGCCTCATTACCGTTCTGCTCGTTACCAAACAGCTCCACTGGATTCTTCAGCTTAAGCACTTTGCTCAACAGTGAACTGCAGCTAAATGAAGAAGGAGGGGAAAGGATTTCTTAAACAACTACCTCCCCACTGTGTAAATTAGCATGGAGATCCTGCAGTTTCCCGAGTTTACATGTTTTAATGAGTGTGATAAGTCACACTGTTCTTTCACAAGCAAAATGCTAGTGGAACACTTGCACCTAGATCTGATGGTTTGACAATAAACGAGAAAAAACGTGAGATTATTAGTTTTCAAGTACACGTTCAGAAGACGTTAGACTTTTTGTTTCACTCTTTCCGTCGGATATAAAGCTTTTCTTTATCTTTTTTTTTTTGTGCGTGAAGAACTTCTCACTGCAAAGCCAAGACGTTGTCGGGATTGGCAGGTTTCAGACCCAGAATGCAGACAGGACTCGAGGCTCAAACTTTTTTATTTTTTAGAAATAATGAAAACCTAATCAAACAGAAAAGACTATAAACAAAGAAAGAAAGAACACAGATCTAGACGGAAGTGAAACCAAAAGGAATCGATCTTCAGTTTCAATCATTCTCTTACAAGCACTTGCCAAAAGTGCCATCACTGCTGTTGGCACTTATTGTACCTTGGTGTTTTATGACTAGCAATTCTGGCAATAATGACAAAAGATGAGTGAATCGGGTAAATAGATTAAAAAATGACCTATTCTCTTTGCACTTCCTGTTGCTATGCTAGTTTATTTTTGCATCATGTCGTTGAGGAGACTCCGGTTGTTCAGGAGAACTTGATGCACTGTTACATTTGAATATTAAAGGAGCTGTGATGACCAGTAGGATGTCTGAGCACCGACCTTAAAAGAATAGCTCATATTTTCATAATCTTTCTGTGGAAAGGTTGGGAACAACGAAATTAAAGTGCAAACTTTTCTTGCATCACTTGTCTATATGATGTTAAATATTTACATAAAAACCTACATAGCTGCTGGTTTGGGGCTCAATTTGAGAAAGATTTGCCTCAGACTACAAGTTTTATCAAGCGTTTCAAACATGAGGTGTTAATATGAGGAGTAGCAGCTTAAATAAGTACGTTTTTAATAAAGAGACATAAAGTTATACAAGATCCCTGAGCTAAAAACGAAGCTGAAAAGGTGAATATTATGGACTCTTTCTCTTGCACTATTGCTTTACCTGCAGGTGTTTGAAGAACGGCCAATCATGGCCAATTTGTCAGCATTGTTTTTTAAATAAAATATTAGGAAATAAAAGGCTTTTTAACATGCTAATCAAGAACCGCTACTCACAGATGAATTCTGTAAAATTAATCAAATCGGCTCGATACGTGGCATACGCTTCACTGAAATGCATCGATTTAAAATAAACAAACAGAATGAAATAAGTCAAATTTACAACCACAGTTTTAAAACTTTTTTTAAAAATGTGTTGCTGCCATAAAGATCTAAATGACCTCCTTTTAATATAAAAATACAGTGGTCCCTCATTTATTGCCGGTGTTTGGTTCCAAACCCGCACAAAGTAAGTGAAATTCCGTGACGTAGGGACGTTGTATATATGTTTTAGTATTTATATATATTTTAAGGCTTTAAAAACCCTTCTGACACTCTTGCAATGTTCTAAACTCTTAAACCTACTAATTGTAACAACATATGTGCAGTACTGTATATGTAGCTACTAAATTGTACTTATCGGTCTTTGCAGAACAGCAGCAGCTCGGTCCGTTTCTGGTCCGACTCGGTTCCGTTTCTGCAGACCCTTCAGCGTTGAAGCTCACAATGTTCTAAACTCTTAAACCTACTAATTTTAACAACATACTTGTACGTTGCCACTAAATTTTACTTACCAGCGTGTCCCTGCTTGGAGATCCTCGTCGGTCGGTTGAAAGAGATGAAAATCGTGCCGTTGAGCTTCAGACGAACTACCGGATCATCGGCTGCGCGCATCCGCTGAGGGCTGTTCATTGGCCATTTGAAAGTCATGAAAAAAGTCCTATTGAATTCCGGATGGAGCACCAGAACTTCAGCGGCGCGCTTCTGCTCGGAAGTCCACGTGGGCGGGTTACCAGGTCTCAAGAATCACTGATGGGTCGGAAGTCTGGTTCTGCTCCAGTTCTGCTCCAGTTCGGTGGGTTCAGTGCGGCTTCTCTGCATCCGCTGGATGCCGATCAGATCAAAACTTTACCTGTTTTTTTTTTCAGCAGAAGGAAATGGGGCTTCTGGGTGGGGCCCTGTTGCCTTCTGGGAAATGTGGTCATTATGAGCAGGAATACAGTGGAGGCTTACTGAGAAAACTGCAAAATGACGGCGCCCTATTTTTTCGTTAACTTTTTACTGTACAGTACTGTATCCTGTACGGTCCCAATCACTCGAGTAATAAAGTTGACAATCATGTGGCCTGTACATTTTTTTTTTTCCAATACTGTACGTCCACAAACCGCGATAGAGCGAGTCTGCAAAAGTCGAACCACGATGTATCAAGGGACTACTGTATACAAGTTCTTAGTTTCGACTTTTGATGCTGATTGCACTCGATTGTAAATATTATGAGGCTGCTCGTTCTGTTTTTTAGATTTTACACAACGTCCCAACTTCTTCAGAGTTACTGTAGACTTCAGCAATGCTCACGTTTGTTAAATTGTTTTATTTTCAGTTCAATAAAGGCTCATCTTCTTTTTGTGCTTTAAAGGTTTTGCACATTTTTGCAAGTTTACCATAGCTTTATTTGTAAGAGTATTATTTTAAGTTTTGGGAGTTTAGATTAGTATTACTGTTTAAATAATTTGTTTGAATCTAAGCTGGGTATGTGTGAGTAATCCCTGCATGGTCTCCCTCCCCTCCATCTACCTTCCCTGTTTTTCCTCTTTAGGCATGAACAACCGTGAGGTGCTGGAGCAGGTGGAGAGGGGTTATCGGATGCCCTGCGCCCACGGCTGCCCGGCCTCGCTCCATGAACTGATGCTGCAGTGCTGGAGGCGGGAGCCCGACGAGAGACACACCTTTGAGTACCTGCAGTCCTTCTTGGAGGACTACTTCACGGCCACCGAGCCGCAGTACCAGCCCGGAGAAAACCTGTGACCGCGCTCGCGCTCGGTCAGACGTCGGGCTTAAAATGGACATGCACACAGACGCAGTGGCAGGCGTGTTGAAGTGCACGCACTTTTACCTGTTTGAAGTGTATTTTAATCCCGCTCTGGATAGAAACTTACTCTTTCGAAGATGCATATCATCACCTTAAGTGCTTATAAGGACGTTTTCCTTTCTTTTGGTCGCGGCTTCCTGCTTTGAACAGATCACAATGAGGAGAATCGGCGTTCTCCTGGTCAGGCCTTGCAGAAATGTTGCTTTACTCTGTAACCATGACAACAGGAAAATGCAGACGGTTGTGGTTGGGGTGGGGGAAGTCCAGTGGGTACATGATCTGCTCAGCTGCCATATTTGTTCAAGTCCTTTTGATTTATTTTCCGGCGAGGAGAATTTTATCAGACTGACCGGAAAAATGTACCGATGCAGTAAAAAAAAAAAAAATCACACCTGCTACAAGTTTCATCTGGTCTTTTACAGCTGCCAGTGAACCTGCGTGGTAACTGATTGGATCATTTACAGTCATCCCTGTTTTAAGAGACTCATTTCTTTGCAATAACAAAAAATATACAGTATATACTGTAAGTTTGCTTTGATCTCGGATGGATAAAAGATGGAGCCATGTCTGTTTTCATACATGTGCCTTAATACTGTTCAAAAAGTCTTAAAGTGTATGAATTGTCTCTTGTGTTGTGCTAATTTAACTCAAATATATATGTGCATCAAATATCTCTATCTAGTGAACATGTACACAAGTGTCGACCTTTGTGGGGGCAGGGGAGATAAAATGTCAGAAAAGACGAAAAACCGAGACTGGACGGATGGCGTTTTATTTAAAAAATAATTTTTTCCAAAGAATGTAATCTTGATTATTGCGATTCTCCCTGTTTATTGTAATAAAGATCAGGTGACAGAATCTCTACATTTGGTGTATATTTGGATATTTTTATTATTTCAGAAACAAATGAACATTTTTATCTGCCGTAAATCAACGGCTGCAGTTATGAAGTTGTATTAAAGAGTTGTTTTATAAGGCTCATGAAGAACTTGTTTTATTACATTTAAAACTGTTTCAATCCTTCACATCTTAGCTTTTGCTTGATGAATAAATAAATTCATAAAATGTCATTTTGGCAACAATGAGGTGATTCCCAGAGGTTCAAAACGTGACTCTTTAAGGTCTTTCCTGGTTTGTTTCTCCTCTTTCTTAAAGACTCATATCTCAGATGCTGTTAATCTGTTAGTTATAGAAATATTTTTTAAAGTCTGAAACATTTTTGTTTTGTTCCCTGCTGTATAGGGTCAGATCAGACAGAAAATTTGTGGAAAAAAGCAGCCGAAGTCCAACAAACAAGACTAGTCTGAAGAACAAATGATCAAAACTACTTTAAAAGATTACAAGGAAGTTTAGCTTCTTGAAAGAAATGTGATCTCAGTTTTGAGTAGTTTGATTTCTTATTTTTTTATTTTATTGCTTAATCTTTAGAGCTGAAATTTGTTTATGAAGCTGAAACTTAATAGTTAAAGATACAACGATCAGAGCAGATGGTAATATGAGCAAAACACAAACTAAAAGCTAAAATTAGCCAAAACAATTAAAAAAAAAAAATCCAGAAGTTAAAATCAGAACAGTTGCTAGACATTTAAACCATAATATTGTAATTAATATTAGCAAAACAGCCGCTAAAAATTTAAAATGGCAGCTAAAACTTTACATCAGCAAAAATAGCAGCTAAAAAATAAAAACGTCAAAACTGCAGCTAAAAGTTAAAAAAACAAAACGGTATCAAAATGTTAAAAAAGCAAAACAATGGCTAAAACTTAAAATAGCACAACAGGTGCTAAAATTTAAAGACAGCAAAACAGCAGCTAAAAGTTAAAAACAGCTAAAAGTTAACAGCAAAATGGTAGTTAAAACTTAAATTTAGCTAAGCCATAAATCCTATAGTCCAACAGCAGCAAACAAAAGTTAATTCAGCAAAAATTTGCTAAAAGCTAAAACCAATTAAACAGTAGCTAAAATAATCACTACAGATGCTAAAAGCTAAAACCAGCAGAACAGTACAAATAAAACAAAACTAAAATTAGTCTATGTTCAAACTAGCAAAACGATAGCCAAAAGCTAACATGTTTAAGATTTCAAATAGCATAAAGTATTTCAATGATTTAAAGATGTATAATGCATTTCTTTGAGAAAATTGTTTATTTATGATAAATATTTCAAAATGTTTTAAAGGTAGGAACAGGCAAAAGTCACAGCGGTAATGATTTGTAGAAGCTACATTGATACATGAATGGCTGAAATAAGCGGAACTGATACTAAATACATTGAGTAAAAAAAAAAAAAAGCTGCAAATAAACAATTAATTTTTTTTTTTTGATGACTTCTGAGCGTTTCTCCCGATTATTTACATTTTCTATTTAGACAACTACAACTCCCACAATTCCGGAGGGTTAAATTGAAGTCAGCTACGGGTGCCCGAACGGCTCAGACAGTCAGGCACGTTGGAGAGGCACAGCAGAGAGACTGGGGCGCACGAGAGAGACGGAGAGCTGGAATTGCAGAGGCAGAGACGCACGAGCGCTCTGTCGATTTTCGCCTCCCGCATACCGGGGAGTCCCGCGCCTGTCACCGAACAGCGGAGCTCCGGGTCCGAGCGCGGCTCTGTCAGCACCTTCACGCGGAGGAAAGCCGTGACAGAACCTCCCCGCTGCTTATTTCCAAAACCTCTGCCCGTTTTCTCTCTTTGTTTCCCCCGTTTACACATTTTGCGGGTGCAGATGTTGACGTGAACCAGAGGACTCGCGGGGCTGTTCCGTTCTCGAGACGGCGTGGCGCGCGGCAGGAGGAGCGGGAGACCGCGTACACATGAGGGAGGACGGTCTCCTTCGGCTCGGATGAAGGGGGAAATAATCCCGCTCGGTGGCGGCTCCGTGACCCGGGCGGGACGAGGAGCGAGCCCCGCTGGCAACCTGCGCTGACACCGCAACAGCCTCACCGCAAGCCCCGCAGACCCTCTCTCCCTTTTAGGTGAGTCTTACAGAAAACACGAAAAAAAAAAAAAAAAAAAAATAGACCTTTCTGCACTCAGCCAGCTCTTAATATGCTCCATGTTGAGCTTATTTATTATTATAAATGTATGTATATGTAGCCTCATCCGTGCCACTGGACGCCGCGTGCGTCCTGCTCGTGCTGCTGGGTGATCTGGGCTTAACTGTAGGCACGCAGCGTGTGTGGCTATACGGAATAATGATGCTCTCACACACAGGCGCAGTGTGGGTGAACCTTGTGTACCCCCACCTGTTCTTCTCTTTATGTTCCTCTTTTCTCAGTTTTTCATAGTCTCACCTATTAGCCTCATTACCACTGAATAAACCCACGGGGGGGGGGGGGGGGGGGGGGAGAGACAAGGTGTGCACAGGTACATCACACAAACAGCATCTTTCCTTTGTGTTAATGTGTGTATGTGTTTGAACTTACTTTTATTAAAAGAGTGACACAGATATTAGATATGAACCCTCTTGGACTTTTATTTTATGAACATTTTTTTTTTTACCTCAGCACCCCCCCCCCCCCCCCCCACCTCCTCCACCCTAGAGTTAGGCAGCAGCAGCAACATCCTGCAGTGGTGAAGACAAGGCATGCTCAGGATTATCTGTGGTTATAGTTGGGGGGTGGGGGTTAAATGAAAGGAAAGAGTGCAGAAGAGAAAGTGAAAGAGAGGGATGAAGAAGTCAATGTCAGTGTCTGTGCAGTGACAGTTGGTTATTTAAGGGCCCCTCAGAGACGTGCACAGGCTGCCCTAGTGCAGGTGCTGTTAGTATGCAGAGTGATGCTCTCAGTGAGTGTGTGTGTGTCTGACTCGCTCACACACACTCACAGACACACACACAGTCTATCTCAGTTGCTGCTTCAAGACCGAGCTTTCTTTTGGGATGTAATGACTAATTTCAACGCAGCGATGAAAAGGAGCTGCTTTACCTCGTCATTCAGCCGCTGTCTGTCAGACTTGTCTTGAGCGTGTTGCCATGTGTGTGTGCGTGCGCGTGTGTGTGACAAACAGAGTGAATGTGCACATAGAACAGCTTAGGCCCATTGTGCTTCCTACCTGTGCAGCGGGGCTAGTTGTCATAGCAACGGCCTTGTAGCTCCACTGATGTTCCTCCTGTCCTCATTGGCAGGGTCAGCGCACCTAACACGCGGCGTCTCGTGGCGTGCGCGCACGCATACACACACACACTTGCGCAGATGCGCGTGCGTGCAAAAGTACCTTTTGTTTGCACCTTGCTGCAGGTCGTGGGCGTGTGGGTTGACAGCGCAGACAAATCAGAGAGTGTGTGTGTGGAGCTATGCACGTGTGTGCCTGGCAGTGTCACAAAGATACACCCTGCTGATGTGACAGCCAACAGCTCAACCAATCACCTGGTTTCTCTCTCTCCGCCTATCAGCATTTGAGGTTGGCGTAGTCAAGACGCCCTCTTGATGTGGACGTCGTCATGGAGATGGAGGAGACAGAATGGACACATGTGTATGCATACACACACAGAGGACATGAGCCACTGAGCGGTTCAGTATTTGGAATGAGCTCTGTTGATTTCCTGAAGGGTTTTGGAGTTTAAGAGGAAGCAACCTGTTGAATGGTTGAACTAGGAGTGCAGCAGTTCAGAACCTGAGTTCTGCTGCCTGAAACTCTTTGTGATGGACCTTCTACCTTAAGGACCGCACGCTAACTCACATTTTAATTCTAACTTCCAGACATGCCGTTCCTTGTTTTGGGTACAGAGGTCACAGATGTGTCGTTGTCATCTTCGGAGCGTTCAATAAACATTCTGCCGTTCAGGAAAGGACGTTTTCGCCACGGATGTGATTTGATGCAGGCGAGCCAGGATTGCTCAGGCTCCTGAAACTCCTGCCGAAGCACACGAGAAGCTGATTGAGCACAGTTTTCTGTTCGGTAACAGAATTTGGTTGGATAGAGCAATCACCGAGTTTCGCTTCGAGACATCAGAAGACAACGAGGGTTGGGGTAATCACCGTTAAAGTCCCGACTGGAATAAATTTTTTAGGATCATTTCCTGTTTTGGGTCATTTTACTACGCTGCACGTTACTACCGGCAAAAACAATTAGTGAATAATTTGTCCTTGGGGTGAGGAGTCCCATCTTTTGTCACTCCTATTAATCTAAACATCACCTGAAGTGAAATAG